AACGGGACCCCGTTTTACCGTTTGTCTCCGCCTCATCCCGTTTTGTCCCGTTTTGACAGATTTTATAATGAGCACACACAATTTGCATAATTTTATTTCCCAAGCAAGATATCAAATCACCGAAACTCAAAGAGAAACAATGAAAAAACATGTTCCAAGCACATACTTAATTATCATATATTACAATACAATTCATAATATATTAAATCATTTTCAACCGAATAAATAACATACTTAATTAAATTGATAAAATATCATAAATACAATTAAAAAAACAAATATTTGCATGTTACTACTCAAAGATCATCAAGACTCACTCATTACATTGGAGTTCAACATAATCGTCGATTACTGCACATCTTACATTCATTAAAATTAAAAGTGAATTAGTCATTATAAAATTTTTTAATGTTGTCATTTAAACTTTGACATATTATTGTATTCCTTCATCTTCTTCCGGATACTCCTCATACATAATATAATAACCATTTGAAACAAATGAAGTTCCACCTAGAAACAAATATAATAAACATAAATAAGATATATAAAATTTTTAAGAAATTAATAAAAAAATCAAATTCATATGTAGAGTTTTAGTGCATTACTTTTATTTTCAGTACCTGTCCATTAATGCTTCCATCGTCTTTGGATGAAGTCTACTTCGATGTGGACTTACTAGCCTTCCGACTAAAAGTTGATTATGAAGCAACGGTTGACATAGGGATTGCCAACACATCCTTAGCAATTGCCATCAAAGTAAGGTACTTCACTCCATTTACTTTCCACCATACTAGAATATCAAAATCTTTGGTTCTTGGAATAACAACCTCATCTAAGTAGTAGTCTAGCTCTGTCTTGACAAAAGTAACCTTGGCCTTTTTACTTGAAACATACAAGTCAAACTCGGATTCCATAACACCATAAACTGTTGAAGAATTAGCCACAACAGAGCTACCACATCCTACATCCACATTTCTATTTTCTTGGTACTCGGCTAGCAAACCATAACAAAGATTCCTTATATTCTCAATCTAAACCATAGCCTAACTCCCATAAACTTTTCCAAAATAAAACTCCAATGAATCCATTTTGTACCTAAGATCTAAAACTGCAGCTACTCCTATTATTTCATGAATCACACTCCAATACTTATTGAACTTGACTAACATACTTTCTGCCATTTCATTAACCATTTGATTTGGACAAGTGAGCCATTGAGTCAATGCAACCTTAATTTCATAAATTTTAGTGAAAAACATATTTGACGTAGGGTATCGAGTTCCTAAAAATAATTCGAGTAACACTATAAAAGATCTTTAATCTCCCACATATTTCCTTTGCGAATTCCCAATCATTATCAATAGGCACAATCTTATAATAAGGTTCACGACGCTTTAACCTAGAGAAATAATCCTTATATAATAAAGCAATTTCAAGCATCAAATAAGTAGAATTCCATCTAGTTGGACAATCTAAAACCAATTTCTTCGTGATAGGAATGAGAAGAAAGTTAGCAGACTTCCTTAAACTTTTCAACTCTTTTAGGAATTCGTTGTCCAAAATGCTACACTATCTCTAATTCGTTCAACCCTATCCTTAATGACATCTAACCCATCTTTCACTATTAAGTTAATGATATGAGCACAACACCGCATATGCAATAAATAATCAGAATTCAATAAATCTTTAGATTGTAATTTGTCCCTCATATACTCAACCATGGAATCATTGGTGGAACAATTATCTAATGTAATAGTGGATAATTTTCCTTCAACATTCCAATCCATCAAACAATCAACCAAAGCAGATTGCAAGGATAATGCTTGTATGTGGACAAGGAATATACATAAACCTAAAGTAAGATATAAATTAGTTATAAACTAGAAGCATTAAACTAAAACAATTAAATAAACATCATTAAGTTAAGAAGAAATGAAGAGTACCTCAATATGCAGCTTCGTAATGTCCAAGAACTATTAATGTAATGAGCTATAACGGCCATGAACCTTTTTTTTGTTGCTCGCTGTCCACAAATCAGTAGTGATGGCAACTTTACTTTCAAGTTTTTCGAAAAGTCTCTTCATTTTGGCTCTCTCATTGTCATATATCTTGAAGGCATCACTTTTCATTGTATTTCTACTTGGACACCGGAATAATGGTTGAAGAGTACTTGTAAACTTTCCGAAGTCGATATGATCAACCATAGAGAGCGAGTATTCATGTAATATGATCATAGAAACAAGCTCAGTTCCGCCCATCTCTTGATCAAAAGTAAGAGACATTGCATCACTCACTAAGTTAGAAGTCAAAACCTTCTGTCTTATGTCCGTAATTCTTCTCCTTGGACATCTCTTAAAGTGATCATGCAAATGTTTAATACCATTCCTTAACTTGCCTCTAAGTTGCTTCGTGCAATAATTGCATTCTACCTTTTCTTCACCATTCATAGTTTTCTTTATGAAATGGTTCCACACAAGCACTAAATTGCTTTATATTAGGGAGATCGAAATCGCTTTGAAGTTCACCCGTAACAAGTTATGAAGATGAAATTGGTTCGGTAATTGAAGTCGATGGAGTGGAATCCAAATGTATTAGTGTAGAGTTTGTAAAGTGATGGGAGCTACCTCCACCTCCATGGCTTGTCATTTTTTGAAAATATATAATAGTTTAAATTTCAGATCATCAAACAAAAGAAAAATATTTAGACACTTGGATCTTAATATCTTATACGAGTTATACTTGAGAGAGAATGACATGAGAAATATATAGTTGGATCTTAATAGTTGGCCAAACACTCATATGTAAATAGTTTCAGAATCACATAACTAAATGCAAGAACAACTAAATAATCAATTTAATTAAACATATTCAATAACATGATCCATTAATTTTCAAGACAGAATTTAGCTCATAATTAAAAGATGAACGCCTACTAATTTAATCGAAATAAATTCCATGTTTTCACAATCAAGAATTGAAAGCAATAAAATCGGAGAATTAGAAATAATCGGGTTATCTCTCGCTTCAGTCGAGGTTGGTCTCCGTTCGGCTTAAACATAAATCCTTGCCTAGTCTCTATCGTTCTTCTTCAATGGCTAAAACAATTTCGCTACTGGAAAATCTTCGAGTTTTCTTTTTTTCGAGAGTTTCTCGATAGAGAGAAGGTCACGTCCGTGTGAAACAAGCATTGCGAAAGGTCACACCCATGTGAGCCAAATCACCGCCGTGACTTGAGGAAGGTCACGCCCGTGTGAAACAAGCATCGCGAAAGGTCACGCCCATGACTAGTTGGTCATGGTCGTGAGCTTTTCTTTTCCTTAGAAATCATGGCCGTGACGTTCTACGAGCCGAGCACGCGTACCGTGCTTGTGCTACGTGCTTGGAGTATATATATATATATAAACTAGCATAATTTAAGTGCGTATGTATATATGTGTGTGTGTGTGTGTGTAAGAAAAAATGAAAGCTTGCATAATTTGAATGTATACATATATAAACCGAGGTCTCATGCAGTTATGCCTCCTTGTGTCGGATGTTGTATCGACTGCAGGCATCCAAAAACCGGAGAGAAATAATTCATTGTGCATGGTCATATTTTCATTTAGTCTTAAGAATATAAACTACATCTACATCATCAATATAGGCCTCCAAACCAAGCTGAATGCATGAGTCATTTAAGGGCCGATCCGGATAAATTAGTTCGGTACAAGTAAATGGATCTCCTGTCATTCTATCAACTAAAAGTCATGAAAAACCTCTGCTTAAATGAAGAATCCAGCTATCTAGGAAGCATGGACTTGTAGTGAATTACAAGGACAAATAAAATAATGATATTCTTTGCTGAAAATTATCACATTTTTTACTTTTCTAAATATAAAATCAAGTTCGGAAAACTCGGTAGAAAGAAGTCACGGTTTGATTGAACTAACAACCTCAACAAATAACAAGGCAAAATTATCAATCCACATGCTAGAGAATAATAGAAACTATAGTTAATTAGATCGGTTCCGGAAAAAATAAACTCTTTTTTCATGCTTAGTCGAAATCCTTTCAAAAATTTCCCATACCACATCAAGTTTTAATACTAAACAAAATCGAAACGAAGATTTATGAATTATTCTATTTATGTCCCTTCCCTAAATTTAACCACCATAAATCAAGAAAATTATCATCAAGAAAATAAATAAAAACCTAACACTCATTTCATACTTTGATGCTAATGTAGTCGCAGAGAATTCCATATAACTCTCTATCTATTCAATATTCATGCTTTGAGGGGAAAAGAAAAACAATTAAGAAGCCATTGGCGGATTAGCCTATAAATTACCCGATGGGTTGGCGAAATGGTGGTTGTTTGGTCGGTGAAAGACAAAAGGTACCTTCGGACTTCGATGTACGGACGATTGGACAAGCTCGGACTCCGGTGAAGTGGTGATCGGTGATGATCGAAGATCCGGAGAGTGGAGATGTAAGTTTGAAGAATCAAGACTCGAACTCCGAAATGAGGCCGAGGTTGAGAATATGAGATAGGTAAGATTTTCTACAAGAAGCCATTAGCTAACCCTAAGTAACTTACTAACTTATTATAAGTCATTGTTGACGGGGCAAAACGGGGCGGGGTGGGCAAATCCCATCCACGTCCAAAAAAATTACGAGGCGGAGTGCCTCGTCCCGCTCCCGATCAATGTGGGGAATCTCCGCATTGATCGGGACGGGGCGACCTCGGGTCGGGTCATTTTTCCATTCCTAGGTGCTAGTGGACTTAATCCATGAGAAGCGACCTAAATTCATGTTTCTCAATAAAACACTTAACAAAATGAACAAAATCAATTCAATTCAAAGTCAATTAGGTTTTGAAGGGAGCTTTGTGATTGATCGTGCGAGGAAGAGGGGTGGTCTAGCCTTGTTTTAGAAAAAAAGAAGGATGACAATCTACTAGGTATAGCCAAAATCTTATTGATATCATGGTTCAAATGAAAGGGACAAGAAGCTAGTACCTAATGGTGTTTTATGGAATACCAAAGAGGAATCGTAGGAGGGAGTCCTGGAATCTTCTCCGTACCCCAGTCAACGTTCTCCTCCGCCTTGGTGTTACTTGGGGGATTTCAATGATATTTTTTTGACTCAAGAGAAACGAGGTAGGAATCCCCACCTTAGTTGATGTATTTTAGGTTTAAATGCAACGATGAAGCGATCGTGGTTTGGAGGATTTAAGAATGTCTAGGTATGGCTATACGTGGGAGAAAAGGGAAAGGAACTAGAGACCGGGTTGAGGACGGACTAGATAGGGTGGTGGTTATAAGTAACTAGGTGGAGATGTTCTCTAATTTTATAATGAGTAATTTAGTACAGCCTTCTTTTAACCACTCACCCATTTTTATAGATCCCATTGCTAGGTGGACAAGAAAGGAAAGTAGGAGATTTAGGTTTGAAAATGCTTGGGTCGGGAAGGCTGGGAGTGGAGAGATAATGGGGAAGTGCTTGGGAGCTAAACAAGGGGAAGCAAATCTGGGAGAAAATCTTGATATGTGGGGAGGAGCTTCGAAGTGAGGGGATATGTACATGAGTAACTTTAAGAAAAGAATAAAAGAGTTTAAAAGACGTATGAGCTTGTTGAGGTGGGGAGAGATGCATCAAAGATTGAGGAATCTAATATAGTCCTAAAAAGTACTTAGAGACCTTGAATCAAAAAGTGGTTTTCTAGAAATAGAGAGCAAAGCTCTCTTGGTTGCAAGAAGGAGATTCCAACTCATGTAATTTTCATGCAATGGCAACTACTAGGCGTAGAAAGAACGGAATCAAACAACTAAAGAATAGTTCGGGTAATTGGAAAAGTTGGCAACACGGTCTAAAAAATGTGGTGAATGGGTACTTCTCTTCTCGTTTGAGTCTTCTGGGAGCTTAACGAGAGGTATCATCCAAAGGGAACAAAGTCCGTAAGACTCAAAACTTAGTCTTGGGCATCGAATTCTCTACGCATGAAGTGAAAGAAGCTCGTGTTCGGTGTACACCTCGATAAATTTCTAGAGTAGATGGGAAGAATCCTTGCTTCCACCAACATTTTTAGCATATTGTGGGGGATGATGTTACTACCCCTTGACTAAAAAGATTCGTGAATGTTAGTTCCCGGATCGACTAAATGAAATAGTAATTGTTCCGATCCCAAAAAGAAGGACTCGTATTTCTATGTAATGTTCTTTGCAAAGTGGTGTCAATATGTTTATGAATATATTGAAAAGGGTGTTACCATCCTTGATTTCTAACACACAAAGTGCTTTCATTCAAGGGTATGTAATAACGAATGATGTCATGGTAGCCTTCGAAGTCAATCACTTTTCGAAGAAGAAAATAGAGGACAAAAAGGGTTTAGTAGCACTTAAGATGGCTATGAGTAAGACGTACGATGGGATATAATGGCCTTTATAAGAGGCAATAATGACTAAGATGGGATTTTCTCAAAAGTAAGAGGAGCCGATCATGTTGATCTGTTATATCAATTAGATATAATGTGGTTCATAGCTTGAAAGTCATACGCCCTATCGTGCCAAGTCGGGGATACGAGCAAGGGGATCCCTTGTCACCGTATCTTTTTATTTTATGTACAAAAAGACTTTCCTCTTTGATTAAACGAAGGAGAATCCGTGATTGATCCATGGTTGTAAGGTTACGGGAGGAGCCCCCGCATTGTCACACCTTTTCTAAAAGAGGACAATGCCAACAAGCTTTTATCATGCGTTGTTCCTAAATTTTGCATGAAAGAGCTGGTTCAAGAAGACGGTATAATGGTGTTCTATCAATTCCTCCACAATCAACTTCAAAGGAATGATTAGAAAAGTTACAAGAATTTAAACTACATCGGATGGATGAAAAAACAATATTTTTAAATGAAAATTTGGATGAAAAGGTATACATAAAACAATCCGAAGGTTTTTATGATGAAACAAATAGCCACATAGATTATAAGCTAAAAAAATCTATATATGGGCTAAAACAAGCCTCCCAACACTAGTATATTAAGTTTCATGATATTATTATCTCATATGATTTTATTGAGAATATTTTTAATCAATTTATATATATTAAAGCTAGTGAGAACAATATATTTTTTAATCCTCGTATGAAGATGATATTTTGCTTGTAAATAACGACTTGAGTTTGTTATGAGAGACAAAACAATTATTTCTTCAAAACTTTGATATGAAAGATTTATATGAAACCTCTTATTTTATTGACACAAAAATTCACAAAGAAAGGTCTCGGAGAATATTATAAATATATGAAAAGACCTATATTGAAAAGTATTGCAAAGATTAAAGATGTTAAATTGGGCATCATTAAGCACCGATTTTCAAATTTGACAAATTCAATCGAAGCAATATTCACAAAATACATTGAAAAAATTGTAAACAATTAGCTTTTTTTATGGATATGCAAATGCGATATGATGCAAGCATATATTTGTCTAGACTCGACTTGGCACTTGCAGTAGGAATATTGGAAAATGTTCTAAAGCAATTCGAAATGAGACATTAAGCGAGTCGTTAAGAAAGTTATAAGGCGATTGGTTATTTAAATTTAGATTTTATTGGATATGCGGATATAAAAAACTCTATTTTTTGATACAATTTTCTTCTTGCTAGAGGAGTTGTGTCTTGAAAAAATACTAAACAAATTATTGTTGCTTCAACTATCATGGAAGAAAAATTCGTTGCATGCTATGAAGCATCACAATGCTATATAGTTAAGGAATTTCATTTCTAGTTTAAAAATTATCGATTCCACATCAACATCGGTAAATATTTATTATGATAATTTCGCTAGAGTTTTCTTATCTAAGAATAATTAGAGTAGAAGCTAAAATAAACATGTTGACATAAAGTATTTCATCACGAGAGCGAGAAAGTGAAGAAACATAGAATGTTTATTGAGCATATTAGTACTAAGCTAATAGTTACGGATCTCCGAAGAAAGCACTACTAACAAAATAATATAAAGATCATGCGAGTCTAGTTAACCTTTCGATATTTGACTTTATTTTTTTATTTATTGGCTTGATATTTTTTATTTTATTATTATAAATTGAGTGATATTTGTGCACATGAAGTATTATTTTCTATATCTTTTAGGATGTATAAAGTTGTACTTGAATTAATTACCGAAAGTTCATTGATAAAGTTTATTGTTTATTTTGAGGATGCAATATATTATAATATATAGAAAGGAATACTTGATTGTAAAGAATAACTCGTTATAATTCATATGTTGTGTTCTTGATCTAATGTGTGTTTTTACTTGCCAGTACTCTATAAAGAAATTGTCACTTTCCAAATAGTATCATAAGGCCTTAGTGGAAGAAGGTAAAATATATCTCTTGGTGTGACTCATATATCATATCTTATTCTAAATTAATACTATATGCTATTATATATTTTATTTTAAATAAAATCGATGAGTGACAATTAAAAGTTTAGAGCCCATTGAAATTTAGTGATAACATTCATCATTGATGGAATTGCAAAAATTAGATAAAAGAAAAGATATTTAGTCTAGCTATTTAAATATTACATAAAGTTCTATGTCATTCATCCACACACACATACAAAACCTTTGGGATAGACTAAAAGACCTTTTCTTCTTGATGACACCAACTTTTCTCATAAAATTGCTTGAGCCAGTTAATCAATCACGAGGTACTTATTCAATTAATTTCTGCCGTGATTATCTGTTTGAATATATTTAATTTATCTTACATATTATTAATGAAGTTCCTTAAAATCATCCAGTTTTATGAGAAGAAGACAATGATGGGTTGATGGTTGGGCAACAAGGTCTAAAATTGGCAGGGCTACAAGTTTCTGGTGAGTTTTTGTTTTTATGGAAGATAGGAAGAGGCAAGAGGTGAGTGTGAGTAATTAAGAAAGTCCTTGTGAAACATTATTCATTGCAGCTTCTTGCAGAGTTCTTCACCGACCAGAACTAACACCAGCTGATGCTAACAGTGCCATTAGTGAAACTAAGTAGCCTGAAAATTTTAGACTACTTACTCTTTTCACTCTTTTTAGCTATACTCGAGGACAAGCACTAGTTTCCTCGCCTAAAACTTAAAAATCAGAACTCCATTAACAGGTGGGGTTAAAGAATTGTTAAGCAAAAGAAAAGGAAACCGGAAATACAGTTGAAGCACTCCCCAACAACAAGGTTGAGTTCGATTACAAGCAATCAAATTTAGCTAAGTTCAAGCAAGCTAAGTCTGCAACTAAATAGTGATTTAATCACAATAAAATCACAAGAGGGTAGTAGTTTCCTCGCCTAAAACTTAAAAATCAAGTCACAGAACTCCATTAACAAGTGGGGTTAAAGAATTGTTAAGCAAAAAGAAAAGGAAACCGGAAATATAGTTGAAGCACTCCCCAACAACAAGGTTGAGCTCGATTAAAAGCAATCAAATTTAGCTAAGTTCAAGCAAGCTAAGTCTGCAACTAAATAGTGATTTAATCACAATAAAATCACAAGCGTAGTAGTAGCATCACTCAGAGATTCTATTTGATTCGTCGATCACGGAGAAGTGACTTGGTTTCTGATTCTGCTAGAGCGCCTAACTGGAGTGATCACCTCTTCATCTACAATTCCCTTCAAAACCAAAGTAGAAAAACACATAAGATACAAATTCAAGTTACAGATGTAATTGCATACAAAATCATAAATTCTAATACAAGATAAAATTCTACCTATAGTTGTAAAGGATACAAAATCATAAGTTGTAATAGGTTCTTACATGCTTGCTGGGGATCTTTTCATACGTGGTGAAACTGCCATAAGAAGGTGAACCCATGGAACCGATGGAACAATCTGACGAAGCCATGGATTCTCTCCTGTAATTGTTCTTCCTAGGCTTCCTCTCATAGCTTAGAGGTTCACTTGAGCCCTTCTGTCCTTTCTTGCTGTATGACAAGCTGAAACTGCTCATTTCTGACGAGCATGACTCTCCAGCAATGTCTGTATGTTCTGCTGCAACTGATAGTGGGCTACAATCCAATTCCTTAGTCATCGGCGCTTGGTCCACTGTATTTCGGGCTGTGGGAGTTTGACTTTTCGTATAAATGAAGGCTGTCCCAAGTAGACTGAAGACAATCAATGAAATCCCCACCATTACGTGTGCTGAATGTGTGTTCACTAATTCTGAACTTCGGGGATTTTCAGTTGCAGCACCTGCAAGTATTTCAAAATTGTCCTCTGCTGCAGGGGACTCAAAATCTGCACCAATATCATTTATGCTTTGAGATTGCATGGAATTCAAGATTTCTGGTTGAATTTCAGCAGCTTGTGGGATAAGAACAGACTGGTCTTCAAGGCCTATGTTACTTTGCAGCTCCAAAACGTTAGCCACAGTTTCAGCGCTTTCTTGGATGACCTCTTGTGCTGGCTTAACAAGTTCAGCAACCTGAGATTGGGGTAGCAGATTTTCTTCTTCAGACTCAGGAACACTAACTTCTTCTGGATCTGGAACACTATCAAAATCCCCATCACCTACAACTTCTTTAGTGCCCTCATCAGCTGCACTTGGTTGATCCCCTTCATCCACTACCGTAATGTCTACCTCTGCCGTCTTTATGGGCTCTAAAACTTTCTCTTCAGGCTTAACTTCTGATCCTAAAATGCTCTGTTCAAATGCAAATTGACCATCAACCATGCCATCCTCGAGCAAACTGGTCAAATTGGCATACTGCAAGGGACCCAGATTTTGCCCACCTCTGAAGCTGTTAATCAGATTATGCGTGTAACATAGAGACTGATGTAGCCAAAGCTGGACCTTTTGAGCTAGAGCTTCAAAACTTTGCCTGGTGTACTCTGAGAGTTCAGGAGGGACACACGGCTCAAAAAAGGTCAAGTTATTCATCACAGAAGGATCCATGACTGGGGATTTAGAAACTGAAACGTATAAAATTCCAACAATCAGAACCAAAAGCAAAGCAGTGAACTTTCTTCTTGTAAAGAAACGTGATTTAGACACCCTTTTCTCTTCAGTCTTCTCGACAGAAGTACAAAAGGAATTGGGTTCGGATACAAGCAGCTCGTCCTCCTCCTCTACAAAATTACTAATGGGGTTGGGTTCAGATACTAGCAGCAGCTCTTCCAACTCTTCTTCTTTAACCTCATCACCTGAAGAAGCATTGGATTCTTTCACCTCATCGGCTAAAGAAGCATCCGATTCTTTCTGCAAATCATCAGAGTGACTGTCTTCTGCTTCACTGACTTCAGTTTCTGAAGAGCATTCAGATGCAAAAATATCCTCAAGTGGTTGGCCATCTCTTTCCTTGTTTAGATAAAGCTCAATTCGCGGGTTAGGCCTATAACGAAGAAACTGAGGCCTTGGTGAGAGGTAATTAGTCTTAGGATCATAAGGAGGCAATGATGGATCTGCATCAAGAGGTGCCAAAGCAGGACTTGGCAATGAACACGAAACCCTTGGACTAATCTTAAAACTTGGATCAAGATTAACACAATCCTTCTCCACTGTTAGATTGTCTGATGATAAGACCAAATCATCTTTAGCACTGGAATCTGCTACCAAATCAACACGTTCGTCCCTTTTGGAATCCTCATTGTCCCCCAAGTAAATGACTGTGGAATCAAACGAGACTTCCTTCTTCTGATTCAAACCCTTGTTAGGCTTTGAGTCCAAGTCTTCCATTAAAGGGCTTTTTGCATCAGCAAACGAAATCGAAGTGCGAATTTGCTCATTCCTGTCAGTCAAGATTTTCTTTCTTGGAGATGCATTGATTTTTGAAGCTGCAGAAATTGTTGGAGACATGAAATTCTTTGCACCCTTTGCTGGTGAACGCATTCTCACTGATTTCCAATTCTGGTCTTTGCCGTTTTCTTTGTCCTCGTGATCACGCAAAGTAACCACTATGTTTTCTCTGCCAACGGAGTTTCTTCGGGGATAATCTGCAAACCAAAAAATAAAAAGATGCAGATCAGAACCAACGAAGCAATTTTAAGGCAAAACAAGCCTTTACTATTTGGCTGCCGAAGACAAAAAGGGAACTTGATTGAAACATTATGTAGTGTGTGATTCTTACAGGAGTTGTTTGTTTCTAGCAAATTTACTTCAGGGCAATATTAACATGAATTATCTAAAAAGTTCACTCTAAAACACCCAACATGTTAGATTGCAAAATTGACCCTCAAACTAATTTCCATCGAAACAAAAACATAATTATACAAATGAGATACTTCATTGCTAAACCAAGTATTAACAAGCCATCGTTTTTTATCAAAATCTCATACAAGAAAGCACATAATGCTATTTCCTATCCTTCCCTTACCTTCCCACATTTTATTAATCTCATACAAGAAAACACATAATGCAGCAATTTCCTATCCTTCCCTTACCTTCCCACATTTTATTGGAAACCAAATAAACCGAAGACTTAATTACTTTCATTCATTTTTTAAATAAAAAAAAATCCAACTCAGTTATAGAAAAGATTGACAAAACCTAATAAAAGATACACTAAACATTTATTTACTACGAAACAAAGAAAAGGAAATCAGTGAAAGAGTTCAAACCTGAAGGACTAGTAACAGGAGTATTGGGGTTGCAGCCTCCTCCTCCCCCTCTTTGATTGGCAATAATATAGGGTTTAACAAATGGGCTTCCGCTGAAACTCCTCCTCATTGGATTACTAATCTCCGAATTTCTTGAATTGGAATTTGTTGGTCTGCTTGGTAGTATCGGAGAGCAAGAATCCAACTTCTTGCTTGAAGCCATAGACTCTTTAGCCAAAGTACTGATTATGGGTTAGTCTTGATTGTTTCTTGAAATGAATGTCAAGAAATGAATCTCTTAACGTTTAATGATGTAGATTTGATCGGAGGAAGAGAGAGAGAGAGACAGAGACAGAGACAGAGAGAGATGGTAACGGCTAGTTTTGGAAATAAGTCTGTGGGGGGTTTTAATGGGTTGGGGTTGTTGACCGTTGGAAAATAAGATTTGAATAGTAAGGGGTAAAAAGGTGGGAGCCGTTAGATTTTAGTGGGATTTGTTTTTCCATGGCTTGGATATGTAGCCGTTAAGGAATGAGGATTTTTCTTTATTTATTTTTAATTAAATTACCGCATTTGAAAATTATTGAATCATGGAAAGTTTGTCCGTTTTCAATATGGTCATCATCCAAGGAGGTAGATTGTGTTTCGCTTCTAAAATTAGATTTTATTTCACTTTTATTTTGTTAGGTGTAATTAATAGTGTGCATAATTTCCGTTATTTCCAATTTCTAATTTTGAATTCCAAATCAAAGTTTGTATTAGCTGTATCCCAGAAAAAAAAAAGATTTTTTTCAATTTAAATCATTATAAGCAATTTTAAGTTGGTGACTCTATACATTAATATAAAATCTAATTTTTATTGGATTTTAAACATTGCATCTACATCTAAATTTATACATTCATGAAGAATTTGTTTTTCTCAAATCCTTAGAAAAAAATTTAGAACCCTTTTTGGGTTAAATATAAAAGATAGGATTAATATCTCTATCAATCTTTGAACAATTAAGTTGCTTTGTTTTATAAAATCTAATTTAATAAATTGTAGTAATTTACTATATTGTGTTGAAATTTTCATTATTTTTTTTTCATATTTTTCCTCAAAAATTTCTACAAGTCATAAAATCTCACAAAACACTTACAAATCTAAAAAAATCAAAAGCGAATTCGAAACATAGACTATTTATTATTTAATGATTAGAGGTAACATTGTAACTTTTTGAGAACTAGAAGGATTATATCAGAAAAAATTAAAATTAGAGGTAAATTGTAGAAGATTAGTGAATTTAATAGGGCAAAAATAAAGTTTACCCACCCACTTTGAATTCGGTTGATCCTCTCATGTCAACAAAGCTTGGGGCTTCACATCAGATAAGCCCACTAATGTACCGCGAGCCACGTGTTAGGAAAATTTAATCTTTGGTTCAGTTATCAATAGTTTTTAACTCATGCTACACTGCAGATTCATCAGAAAACATATTTTAAAAAATAATTTTAATTTAATAGTATGTATTCTATTATAAATCTATTAAAATATGTCAATTCAAAAGTTTTTTTTTAAAAAAAAAACGATATTTTTAAAATTTCGTATTTAATCAATTATTTATTATGTATTTTTATAAAATTTATGCTAAAAAGTATGCATGCTTCTCTCACTACTCGTGCTTTTCAAAAATAACATTCATGCCTTTTTCTCTAAGCAAACTATTTAAGAGTTAAACGATATATTCAATTTAGGCAGAAGGACACTTTTAAATTAGCAGTTCAACTCTTCTTTTAATTACTTGATACGTTTTAATTGGAAAAAAAAAAAAAAAAAACTGTTTCAGTATGATTTTTTTGTATAGTTTTAATATTTGTTACCATCAGGATCGGCTTCTCCTCTCTAGTTCAACACTGATTAATGAAGATCCTCAACTACCAAAATCCATGCACAACCTAGAGGAGTACTTAAAAATAAAGAGTAAAGAGTTAATTATAAATTAGTATATCTAGTTTTATAAATCAATTTAATAGTTTTTTCTAATTTTAAAACTAATTAGTTAATTTAATAATAATTTATTTCAATAATAATTTATTTTCTCATTAACATTTTCATAATATCTTCTTCTTTTTTATCTTTTTCTATTTCTTAAAACAAAAATACAAAATAAATTAGAAATTAATGAAAAAAAAGACTATTTAATTCATTTTGCAAAACTAAAAGGAATAGTTTATAATTTACTCAAAACATGAGAGAAGTCAAATCCCACAAAATCATAACCTCATTTTTCTTTTAAAAAATAAAATAAAATAGCCAGGTAGTAATTGCCTAACCAACTCGGGAGCTACATGCGTTTATAGCTGTTTCTAATACATAATCGTATTTCCCAGTTGTTCCCTTTCTAGTTGATTTCTCAGGTACCTCCACTATACAGTAATGCAACTCAAAATTATTTATATTTAAAATTTCAGCAAACCTGTTGGTGTAGGTAGCCTTAATTTTATCTTGTGTAACACATATATAAACATGTCCTTAAAAAAATATAACAAAAGACATTCAGCTCCAATCATATCATGTGAATACAAAGACAGGATAGAAAAATGATTAAAGAGGGGTGGGAAGTGTGATATTAGGGCTGCTTGTTCATGAACTACAGAATTTGAATCATTATGAGTTTCATCAGAGGCCTTGAGCAGGCTGAGTGGTAACAAAACAAGAGAGACAGTGGCTCATGAAAGTTGTGAAGTGGTGATTTGTCTCAAACTGAAGTTCTTGCGCGCGCACACATGGGCACTGGGATTTGCTCATTTTGCCTAGAAACAGTACAAAGTATCAGACGTATAAACAAGCTGAAATTGCTGTAAGGACCTCGTTGACATGGTTATGGCTTGAGCAAGGGACATTTCATACCATTCTGTATTACAGAAAAACTAAATCGACTGTTCTTCAGTTTCCCAAGGAGACCAGACCTGCAAGAAACATCGTTTACAAGCATATGCATGTATCTCAGTGGTTATTATGCAGGTATCTTCTTATACTTGCTCTGCACTAGGCTCAGTAGGAAATCTGTAAAAATGTGCTCATAATCTGGCATTTTCCCAAACCCTGCAAATGGTTTTAAAAACTTGTTAGAACACCCGTATCACTTAAGAAATACCGTAAGACAGAAGCAAGCATGCATAACAAACTGTATTGAAAGAGAATGCATAAAGTGCTAAAGCCAGATATAATGTGCAGAAGCTTCATGAGAGAAATCAAGAGGCATGTCAGACAGACGAGGGTCAAATTCCAAATTAGAAACTTCAAAGATAGTATTCTTGAGTAAATGTTATGTACTTGCCAGGAAAGTAATTGATGTCTATCACGTAAAAAACATCTTTGGTCCCATGCTCTCGGATCATATCTACGTTGAACAATCGGAGTCCCTAGAAAATGCAGAATAAGGCAGCTAAGAGTAATAGAAAACCATATATATGTAGTGCCCCGACAACCACAGAGCTCAATAAACTGAAAACATATATAGAAAGAAAAAAAGAAAGAAAGAAAACACAAATCTACCAGTCGGTGACGAAGCTCCCTCGCAAGCTTCTCCAGTAAAGGATGGGGAGGAAGTTCTGCAAGATCAACACAAAGTTATTGTAAGGAAGATTAACATGATACTGCTCTAAATATAAACCAAGCGGTTAAAGGCCTATGTCTAAAACTCAGTACTTTAGTATATATTCCTTAAAAGCATGCCATGACCTATCTATCCCGTAAGTTGGGAAAAAATAAATTGGTTACAAAACTGATAGCAAACGAATCTTGAAAATAAGCAGGAAAATCATAATGATAACATAGGAAAGGAAACTGAAAGAATAATTCATGTTTAGAGCATGTAAAACTGAAAAGTTAAAAGTTTCCAAGAATCTCACCAGCAACAGAAGGGTCAAGATCTGCATCATCTGCAGAAGCTGCAGCCGATGAAACCCTCGGAAAACGAAAAATACCTTCAACTTTTGATAGCTCTTGCTTTGTAACATTAGGTAGAGAGAATCGTCGTACAACCTTTATGGCTTCACCAACGATATAAATCTTGAAAAGAACACCACCTGTCACAACAAAAGATTAAAAAAAATAGTAATAGTCATATTGAAAAAAGAACATTGATGGGCGCATCAAGAATTATATTCATGCATTAGTTAGAACATCATACCATGATTGACAAACTCTTGTAGTACCAAGGGAGGTTCAAGTTCTGAGAGGGAGCATTGATCATAAGCAAGAAACAGTTCATGAGACTTGGCAGTTCCATCCACAACTAGTGGTTTTGCGACTGAAAACGTTAACACAAGGAAAAATAATTAGACAAAATTGGTTAAGGAAAAACCATGCAGATAGTAATTAAATTGCATGAAATCTTGTCCAACTGATATAAATTTAAGGCAAGGAACCTAATGAACTCATAATGTTGGGAATTGGGAGGAGAGACTAGTGCTAGACATCTGTTAATTTGCAACTATAAAAGAAACCCTACCTAGTGGCAACTTTAGTCCGGCTTTGCTGACTTCATGAGGGATAGATAATGGATCGTTAATAACGACCATCTGCCTTGGAACACAGACCTTGCCTACCGAAGCAACAATCAATGCGAATCTGATCAGCATTACTGAACTTCTTCTTCCATATGAACTATAGTTTGAGAAGCTCGAAGAGAAGGGTGTTCCACAATGAGGAAAAAAAAACAGTACAAGGATTACCATAGCAACCAGATAAGTTGAGATCAGTCACATCCTTGAGCATGGACTGACGATTGTATAAATGCTCTATTGCATCTGGAGGATCAAGGACAGCTACTTCTGGATTTCTTTTCCTGTAGTCCTTCAAAAGGGAAGAAAATAGAAAAGGTAAACATACTAAAATTACACAAATGTGTCATGGCTGAGACAAATAGCAACCACCAGTGAAATTGATGCATCCGGTAGCCATTAAACCATAATTGTAATAGACTTGAACCATAATTTTTAACAAAATATCTAAACCATTGACTGTAATTAAAACAACAGATATAAGTTGTACAAATTAAACTCAAGTATGGGATTCCTTATATTGCAATCTAAATCATCTATGCCAAGGACCAGTTACGCAAGAGTTCAGGCCACTGATGTAACTTAATAATCACACTGAATTTTTTTGAAGAGAAAATCTGATAGGGAAAGATATTCAAATATGCACACTACATACACTATAGGGATAAAAAAACAAAAAATTTAAGAGAAGAGACAAGTTATTCAAAAATACGCAGTATAGTTTCAACTTTAATTGATCAGTGAAAGTGAGCCAGCCTTGCATTACAATACAAAGCATACTTCAAGACCCACTAAAGGCACTTGGTATAGTTAAGACAATGTGAAGTTCAAATGTATTGTTCCATTATATTATCACTCGCAAAGACCAATGATTAATAAGTCTAGCAAGCCAACAAATCCCACTGCAAAAACTGTAGAAACTTCAAAAGAGATGAATGGAACATTGCAACCAAGCTCGCCAAACTTAATAAGTCATCCAGGTTGATCACAGAAGTAAAATTCTCGCTTGTTAGAGATCTCAAGGAACTGATTTCAAACATCTGATCATGATTCATGATGGGAAGGGTGTGCAAGACTCTGCCCATTATGTCAGACAAAAAGAGTCTCAAAGTTCAAGAGAAGAAATTTGGTTTTTCAAAGATTTTCCACTAATTCATGCTGATGGAATTATTTTACATCAACTTATATGTTGAACATTCCAAAACTCAGAATTTCAATTCATTATACAGTATTATAAGTAGAAATAAAATTAACATTGAGAGGTCAGAGTTCAGATGACAAACCTCAATAGCTACGCACCAGTCCTTCCCCAACAACTACAGGAAGATAAATTTATCAGATATTTACTCAAGTACTAGGTTTGGCTGGACATGAAGAACATATCTGGAAAAAAAGAATAAGAAGCTCACCTACAGTCTGATCAGCAATTAAAAACCGTTAACCCAAGGCAACCAATGAATGCAAATGAAAAAGCTATTCAATCATAAAGAAATGCATTCGAAAGAGAAATAATGAGAGGATATGGAAAAGAACCAACACTAACCTTGTGCAAAATAACATCAAAGGGACCTTGATCTGACAATGGCCTGTTTAGATCAATAGCAACGAACAATATGCCCTTATTTCTGCACCAGGCACAGAAATTTGGTTGTAGTTATCGAATGCCTTAATATAAGGAGGCAACATTTTGGAAACTAGAGTGATGAGAGTTATAAAAAAAAATAAAAAATTATCCGACCAATGCAGGCATTTCAAAAGATCTTTTCTTTCTATCATAATAGGAATTAACTTCATCAAGTACAATTACAGAATAAAAAAGGGGGCTTTACAATGGACCACTGAAACTATTCTACGAAACGAGCTGAATTCACAGTAGCTTTTTCAACACAAATAACTACAGACAAAATAAAACTGTATGAAGTATCAAGTTGCTGCTACATGTTAAGAATATCATTAAAATTATAAAAAATGAACCTTATCAGTATATAATGATAGGCCCAAACACAGTGAAAAGAAAAGAAGTGGATAAATAACAAAAATTATGTTGTAAAGTTGGTAACAAGAGAGAACACCACGTTGCTATTTCTTAAAACTAGTTTATTATAACAAAATGCACAGCAACACGTAATTAACAAAAATTTTGTACAGTTTTAACATTTTTAAACTAAATAACAAAGTACCAAACATTGACTTTATGCTCATCGTTGAAGACCTGTCCAAAGAGCATAAATCGTGGAATATTCCACTAATTTTTAGAAGTTTTTGTAAGGATTCCAGATACCCTGGAGTCAAAGCACATATGATAACTCATAAGTCAAGCAAAACAGTTGTCCAATTCTGTTCTAGGAAAGTAAACCCTAGATACTTCATAATTTACTTCATCATCATTATAACAGAGACAGCATATCCCTCGACAACTGCAAACCCCTGCTTTTGGCATGAAGCACAAGATGCAATAAAAACCAAATTCCAACTGAAAAACAAAGTCACAAAAAAAAAAAAAATCTCTGGCGACCCAAAAACGAAAAAGAAAACACAAAACCAAAATTTGCAAAATTTTAAAAATTCCCAAACAACCCATTTCAGGTATTGTATAGCCAAGCAGAAACCCATAAAAGAACAAGCCTTCCCATCAACAATCAAGCGCGCACAAACAAACACATACATGTATGTAAATACAACTAAATGTTGATAAAAGATGTTAAAAAAAAAAGAAGTGAAATGTAATAAATGAAGCACATACAATGAAATACCTGGCTAAAACTTCAAGCTTTGGCTGCAAAAAACTCTTCTTTTTCTTTGATGTTAAAGCATACCCAACCACTACCAGTTTCTGAGGCTGTTGCGTAGATAAAGACACTGTTTTCCCTTCCTCCTCCTCCTTTTCTTTTTCAGGTGGCATGTCTCCGTTTATCCTCATAGAACCCTTTAATCACAACAAGATCAAATTTTTGCTTTCTGGGTTCTCTCTATTTAATCTTGTTTTCTTAAAAGATTAAACTTTTAAAAAAAGACTTATGCAATTTGATTAGTAATCACTGGAAAACAAGAAAAGATTAAAAAACTAATTGATTTCAAAATTTCTTTTTTGAGCTTTTTCGTTTGTTTGTTTTGTGTTTCTCTCTGTTTTCCACGGCCAAGATACAGAGAGAAGTGGGCGCAGGGAGTTTTCTTGGAGGGGATAGATTAGTTGTTGTTATAAATATGTCGAAGCGTGCCTCAGTCTGTCTTTGTAAATTTAAAGCAGCAGAAGATAACGGATTTTGTGAGGAATATTCAATACAATTTGTAGAAGGAGATAGATAGGTGGGGAGGGGAGAAGGGGAGACTGAAGTTGGAGAGATATGATTTTGATTTATTTTGTTGGCCAGATTTGGCTGTGCTCTTTCTTAAGAAGATTTACACACACACATATATATATATACATATACACACACGCAGGTGCAATATTTTATGATACGATATGCATACGGAGCGTTGGATGGTAAGAAAGATTTTGATTTGGAAGGTTCTTTTAGGCTGCGTTTCCTCACATTCCCCATTTTGCCCTTCCTGGCTGGTATTCATGTCCTTGGTCCGATGTCCAAACCAGCTAGGCAGTAAATGATCGATGCTAAAGAAACTTCGCTCGTGATTTGTTGATACAATTTATTAAGATTTCCATTCTAGAAGTTTGGTTGTGATTTGTTTATATAGTTTATTAAGATTTCCACGCAGAAGCCATAGGGTTTTTTTTATGAAATGTTCGTTTGGTAGAATAAGACCAATTTACTACCATAAAGAAAAGACAACAAAAGGTTGATAGAAGTGCAGTCAGGAATAAAGAAAGCATGTATAAAAGTAGATCAATCTTAATTCAAAGTTTTTAAATCAAAAGAGAGTTCGTTACTTAATTTTTCATTATTTTTTTCTTTTAAATTGTCTAACCGATAAACTTTTCTATTTAAGTGTCCAATTAGTAATTTTTTTATTTTAGTGCTCAATTTTTTATTATTTTTTAGTTCTCACAATCACCTAAAATTAAAAAAAAAATACTAAAGTTTTCAAAATGAACTACCATAGAAAAGAAAGTAAATCTCACTTAGATTATTCAGAAAACAATTCAAAAATATTTTAATGAAAATTATAATTTGAATGTCTAATTTTTAATTATTTTTCTATTTAACGGCTCAATATATGATTTTTTTTTCTATTTGAATTTCTTCGGTCACTTAAGATTAGAAAATATTGACATGATCAAGATCCACTAACATGAAGCAAGTCTTTAACTTATACGTAATAAAAATATATCTCATTAGGATTTTTTTAAAAAGTTAACAAATTTATAATTTTTTTAAAAAAAATAGTCGGCAATGATGTAAAAAATCAAAATCAATTATTGTTAATCGAATAAATTAGACAAGTTTGTTGGCTAATTTCTTAAAAAAAACTTTCAAGATGTTATTATTTAAATATTTTTTTTGCCTAATCCAAGAATTTTAACATTGGATCATCTAAACAATTTATTCATTTCGCTAACAATAACTTATTTTGATTTTTTTTAATCCTTGCCGGGTATTTTCTTTTATAAAAGTTTTTTTATTTTTTCTTAATAAATTTAAGGGAAACCTACTTTTTGTCACGTGTTAGTTAAAGACCGCCACATGGCAATAATTCCAATCATATCGGTATTTTTCAATCTCAAGTAACTAAGGTAACTCAAATAGGAAAAAAAATCAAACATTGGACACTCAAATAGAAAAATAATAAAAAATTAGGCACTTAAATTGTATTTTTTTCCTCCATAATCCAAAAGTGATCCATTTGTTAATGTAGGTTAATTGAAAACTCTCACATGGTAGTTCATCCCACACATCAATATTTTTATCTCCAAGTGATTATGGGCGCACAAACAAAAAAAAAATAATCAAAATTGGAAACTCAAAAAGAAGAATTTATCGATTTGACCCTCAAATAAAAAAAAAATCACAAGTTGAGCACTCAAATAGTAGTTTTTTTGAACCAAAATGGTACACTACTATCTTTTATAGCAAAAAAGAATCAAACTTAAACCAATAAACTTGCATGGTCAATGTATTGAAATTAAGATAGTTCACCTTGAATCTTCTTCATTATTATGATTGAACATAAATAATTTTAGTTTCCATGGATGATATATCCAAGAAAACAACTTGCCCTTTTGTAAACGAATTTAAAGAAGAAAGCTCAATCTCTCGTAACTATAATCCGTCCAATATCTAGAGCTCTATTTATAGGCCTAATAAGATCTAGATACATAGCCCGTAATGTATTCTAGTCGTTTTTTCATCAACCACTATCAATCAAAGGATAGCATTACATTCATTAAACGAAGGTCGTCTTTTAAACAATATTAGCCCCATTGACTATGACAATAAAAGTTCTCTAGCCATCTATGATAAAGGGTCAACATCAAAGGAAAATATTTCTCAAGTGTAATCAAAGACCATCGAGCATAAAAAAATATTATTCCACCCCCACCTTATAGAAGTTGATCGTTATCTTCTCCTATATAAAGACTAACAAGCTAAATATTACAAGTTATGCCTTCTAAGATTAAAATAACTATATCATCAACTATCTCCTACATACAAAAAACTAATCTCATATAGCCAATTCAGAGCTAAATACTTGTTTTCATAAGCTAACTTTGCAATTAAAGGATCCTTCAACCAATAGAGGATAAATTATTCTATAAGTATTCATCATTGGATCGATATCCATCAAGCTATAACCAACATATGATTAGCCTAGGTTGAAAGTCATCTTATAAATAATCACAATTCAAGAATCATCACCTCATCAATGGTGCCATTTGAGGAAATTGAGTAAAAATCCAATCTCCGATTATTTTTACTTCTTCATCATCAAGTTCCCATCTACGACTAACAATCGTGAAACGATGACTTGCTCCAGCTTTTCTTTTTATTTTACCAATCTTATCATTTTGTCAATTAATGTTCTTCGACTATAACGACCCATCAAATCTTAACAGAGGCATATATATTGACATAAAAATAAATAAGGTCTTTAACTACATCCTTATAAATGCCTTAAATATAGCAAACACCTTGGTGTATGCTACTTTAAGAGATTTTACACTCGCCATAAGTTACGCCATGCATGGACTTCTCTTACTAAAACAAACCAACTCGATATTTGACTAAAAAAGAAATAGCTAGGCATAGTGAAAAAGTGGTCGAGAGAAACGAGTGTTATTATTCCCTACAATCACAAAGAAGTTACTCTTACTATTGTAATAAAAAGCTAGCTAGCCAAAGCTCCTATAGAGATAAAGAAAGAGAAGAAAGAACGTAATATTTCCAAAATATCATAAATAAGCAAAACATTGCTAAAACTAATATAAAAGTTATTCCCTCCTTCTTTAAAGCCTCATGAATGAGCTTGGAACCTAAATGCCGAGTGAGCGGATAAAAGACAAGTTACAATCATTTAACAAAGCTAAACTACTATATTCATGAGATTTAAACTCCACCATTTGCTACTTGTATCTTGAACGCCAAACCCTTAAAGAATTCTCAATTAGAAAGATTAACCTATATGTGTATGATGATAAGATAGATCCATAAAAGCATGTATAAAATATTTCAAGAAATCTTAAGCTAGTCATGTGAAGCTCGAATGTCCCATGCGAGGTGTTTCCCTTCACCTTTTGAAAAGTAACGAGGAAGTGGTTCAATCTTATGTTTTGAGGACCCATGCTCTAAATCGCAATAACTTCGTTTCTCCATTAGCATTCCTTCATCAAAAAAATTCATGGTTACTCGTTCATAATGTCTTGATAAGAAGGAGAAAATGCCCGAGTTTACCTCTCTTACTTCCATAAAGAGATGCTAAGAGTCAACGATTTGTTAGAACCTATTGCAATTAATGCCCTCATATCGAAGTCGGTGTTAGTAATTTATAGAAAAATATTTATAATCTTTCTAACGAAACCTCTATCAAGTAAAGAGAGTGGTAGAGAGTCATATTTAGTTGAAAAGGATGATAGCCACCTAACAAGTACACCTTTGCTTTTAAAAAATTGGTAGAGAAAGTAAAAGAGAGAGATATCTACAAGTCTACTCTAATCCAAAAAGAAACTCTATAAGGCCCATTTATAACCCTTTTAGTTTTTTCTAAGCTTCGAACAACTTTCTTAAATGTCTCCTGGATAAAGGTATTTGCTCGCCAATAAAAGAAAGAAACTATTAATCGACCAACTCTAATGAAAGGCCCTCCGAACTTTTACAATTAAAAGAAATATTGTCTTTATCACCAAGTTGCTAAAAATTATTATTTTTTGAAGAAAAAAGAAAGTTTAATCTTTGGAGGACTTCTCAAAAATTTTATTAAGGGGAGGGGTCAAACCTTAATAAGGTTGACACCGGACAAGACCTTATTAAAAAGACTACCTCTAGGTCAAAATGATTCTAAGAGAGCTACCATCTAAAAGAGGACCCAAAAGAAAAATAAGACTCTCTCGATCCTCGCCATCTCACAAGATTCCATACCCCATCCATCCTTATAAAAAACACTCATCCTTGCTATAAAGAAATTGGCTATAAAAAATTATTAAAGTCATAAACGGTTATGTTTATTTCCTTGTCTAAGTATAAAAACATACTTTGGCCAACTCTAAATGCACCATGCACCTTCTTAGGAACCATAGTCTTTATCCTCTCTTCAAAACTGGTGCTTTAACCTTACGAATATATAAAGGCTTTTGATTGAGCAAAAAAAAAAAATGGTGACTCTCCTCCCTTTAAACCAACAATCTATAGGAATCCAAGACTTAAAATTTCATGGTTAAAACCATTTTTAGGTATAAAATAATCAAGAATCTCTATTAAAAAAAAAACAAAGAGAAAAACCTCATATTCTCCTCAATAAAGTCTTTAA